AAGCAGGTTCCTCACGGGCAGGACTGGAGGTGGTGGTGCTTCTCCAAGGCCCGGGTGAAATGGGGGGTCTGTCGGTCCCTTAGTGGCCTCAGTGCTGCAAGGCTGAGCTGGTGGGAGCAAGCGAGGTCCCTGGGGGAGGCCTTCTCCCTTCGTCTCTGGAAACTCTATGCCTGAGGGTGGAGCAGGGGCAGAAAGTGCTAGAGGGGAAACTGTAACAACCCCCCCCCCACACACACACACACTACCACCACCACAAAAGAAAGGCAGCACAGGCCTTGCCCAGAGTCCCGAAAACTGGGTCGAGGCACAGTACAGGTAATTCTTTGTGTGTGTGTGTGTGTGTGTGTGTGTGTGTGTGTGTGTGTGTGTGTAGAGATGGCAAGCCTTTTTTTTTTTTTTTCCTTTCGGGAGGCTCTTTCATTGGGACTTGGGGCTCTCCGATTAATTTAGCCAGTCCCCAGGTATCCTGCTTCCTCAGCACTAGGAATACAAGCATGTTCTACGGTGCCTAACTTTTCACAGGGTTCCAAGGGAGCTAACGCAGACCCTCATGTTCCACAGCAAGTACTTTATACCCACTGAGCCACCATCAGAGGAGGAAGGGCACGGACCTGTGTGTCCATCAGCTGCTGCCTCTTCAACCTTGCACAGAAATCCTGCTATCTCCTGAGGCTTGAGCTCAGAGTGATGCCTGAGGAGGCCCACAACGGGAGCAGCCTCTGGGATGGTGAGCACAAGCCTGGAAACAAGGGTGGGGGTCAGGGAAGGGACCATGTTCACAGGACAGCCAGCATGTCCACTGGGACCAAGGAATAAAAACACGTGTCCACACACAAATTCGAATAGCAGCATCAGTCACAAGGGTCAGATGGTTGAAAAAAAAACTTATGAGCCCACTAAGTCACAAACAAAATGGTAGTCCACCCATACCACAAAGTATCACCCAGTCCCGAAAAAGGAAGGAAATCCTGTCCTCTGCCACAGACTAGATGGGCCTTGAATGTACTGTTTGAAGATAGGAACCAGCCACAGGAAAGACAGATCCTCTGTATTACCATTCACGTGATGTTCCTAGAATGACCACATCCACACGGACAGGAGAAGGTAAGATGCAGGGCCAGTGGCTGAGGAGGGCAATGGAGGGGCACAGCTAAGGGGTGAGAGTTTGTGGAAATGTGCGTAACTCTGGCAACACACTCAAAGCCACTGAATCACATACTGACGTTCAGTCTGTGCAATGCGAAGCACAACTCTGGAAAGCTGTTTAAAGCCAGAAACAATGGGACTGGGGAGACAACGTTCAGCAGGTAAAGCCACCTGCCACCAAACCCAATGAGCTCAGTGTGATCCCCTGGAAGCAGAGAATGGACTCCTGAAACTTGTCCTCTGATCTCCACACCCCTTCACACGTAATAAATGAGTAAATAGAATTTTACTGTGTTTTCAAGAGTTTTAATTTTGTGTCTATGTGTGCATCTGTGTGGTGCCCATAACAGAAGCCCTGTACAGCTCCGGGGCTCTGGTTCCCCCTGGAGCTGGAGCAGCCTGTTAGGAGTGCTAGGAACCGAACCCAGGTCCTCTACAAGAGCAGTGTATGCTCCTAACTGCTGAGCCATTTCTCCAGTCCAATCGATGTAATTTAAAATAAAAGGCAAACATTGATGTTCCAAGGCCAGCTCTCTCCTGCCCAGGGTAACAAAATGAGGGGACAGCCCTCTCACCAGACCCGAGAGCACCCTGTCCTCATTCTCTGTACTAACCTGCTGGCATGCCACCCACTTTCTGGGGTTCGTAGTTTCTCTGCAGTCCCTCTCTCCTGCCCTCACATTCAGCTGATGTTATCAGAATCGCCAGGGTCGGGTATATGCACCTTCTTTGAGGGTTATTTAAGAGAAAGGGACACTGAGTCACAGGGAAGCCAGTTCCTGGAGCCCTTACCCAGGGACAGAGAAGGGACACTGAGTCACAGGGAAGCCAATTCCTGGAGTCCTTACCCAAGGACAGAGAAGGGACACTGAGTCACAGGGAAGCCAGTCCCTGGAGCCCTTACCCAGGGACAGAGATGAATTTGCTAAGGCACTGGCTGGTCTTCCCCTCCTGATCCTTCAGATGGGGAGAGGGACCTGGGGTCGAAGAGGAGACACCCAGCCTGTTCCTCTCGGAGAACAATGTGTGCCTGGGGTTGTAGGCAGCCTCAGACGGGGCCCTTGTCCTGACTTCCAGAGCAACCCATCCCAGGCCACAACCTGTGGACTTCTCCTCAGGCCACATCCATGGTGTGGTAAGCAAGGCTGGGCTTTTCTGCCAGTTCTGGTTAGCCAGACAAGAAGCACTCTGGGAAGATGAGCCTCACAGGCCCAGAGGGGCCAGCAGGGCACCCGGACACCAGAGGGGGATACAGAAGCTTTGGGACTCCTTGAGTGACTGGGGCAGGCCATCTCCTTAAGCTCGACCAGGCAGGCTTACTCTCTGTGGTTGTTCACGAGGTGTGCGTGTATGTGTGCATGTACACTTGCACACGGCCGGCTGTAGCAGCTCACCCCAGCCTTCTGTCACCCTGTCCTGAGCATCCCCTCTGGGGCTGAGTCTGTGAGGTTACAGGAGTTTAGAAGGGCCCCCCCGTGAGGCCCTGACCTTATGCAGCTCCTCAAGAATTAGTAGGCTGTGTGTACAAGGAGAGGTAGCAAAGGAGTCTGGCAACAAGGAGGAGGTGACCCTGTCTTCATGGCCCTGGTCACTTACTGACCTAGGCTGTCTTACCCTAGGGGACTTGGCTCTATCCTAGAGTGATGACTGCACCCCAGGGCACCCCAGCTGCCCTACCCAGGGAGCCTCCTGGGCAGGGGGGAAGCAGGCACCAGCAACTGGAGGCCCCTGCCTCCTCCCCTGGCTAGAAGAGTGGGTTGTAGCCTGGGCCTGTGGGGGGTGGTGTGTGTGTGTGTGTGTGTGTGTGTGTGTGTGTGTGAGAGAGAGAGAGAGAGAGAGAGAGAGAGAGAGAGAGAGAGAGAGAGAGAGAGAGAGAGAGAGAGAGAGAGACTGGGGCAAAGCTGGTGGGGTGGTGGGGGACTGAGGCAGCCAGCAGGACATGATGAAGAGTGACCTTGGCCCCCAGGGCTGTCTGTGCCCCTGTGGAGATTGTGAACAGTTCCTTGTGCATGCAGCGTGAAAGATGGGATTCCTCCTCCCCCAACAGTGAGGGTCCTCCGTGCCCGGGGCCCCATGAATTATTTCTCTAAGGAAAATACAGTTCTCCTGCCCACTTCCTGACCTTCGCCGTCCTCTAAATCAACACTTGAAGGGTGCTTTTGCTGGCCTCCAGGCTTCACCAGCGTGCTCTCCACCCCCATCCCCCCAGCTCTGCACTCCAGTGGGGGTGGGGCTGAGCACTGACTCCATCTCAGGGGCCCCCAAGCCCTGCTCAGAACCCACAGCCCACAGCCGAGCCACGTTGCAGAGCACAGATTCCAATCCCGGCAGACAGGCGCCCAGAGACAGGAGCAAGATGGCACATGAGCACATGAGTGTTGAGACAGGGCTGTCCCCAGCATTTGGTGATACCATGCAGACTGCTCCCCAAATCTTCAGGCAAACTTCCTCCTTAGAACTAAATTTCACACCAAGACGCACTCATAATCAGAATCACTGAGACAGTCATAATCACAACCACACACATTTAAAAGACACACACACAGAGACACAATCACACACCCAGAGACAGAGGCAGTCACATCCACACTGATACACAATGACAGTTTGACACAAAGACACACACACTGACACAGTCACAGACATATAGTCACACTCACACACATACCAACACACACAGTCAGTCTCACAAACACAACACATGAACACATAGTCATAGTCACACTCAAACACACACCGACACAAAGTCACAGTCACAGAATCGGACACACATGCTCTGAGACACAGTCACACTCTCAGATATAGAAACACACATAATCCTGTACACAGACAGAGATAATTCATTTCCAGACCCGTACAACTAGTCACTGAAGAGACAGATACGCTGATACCTAGACACAATCACACACAGAGTCACAAATACAAACTGCGGCTTAGTGGCACACTCCTTTAATCTCAGTACTCGGGAAGCAGGGGTACTGAGTTTGAGGCCAGCTTGGTCTACAAAGCAAGTTCCAGGACAGCCAGGGATACACAGAGAAACCCTGTCTTGAAAAACCAAAACCCAATCAACAAACAAACACACAAACTCAGGCATCAATGCTGAAAAACTTTCAATAGGCACATACTCTCAAGATTCCGGTCAGCACAGCTTAAGGTGCATGACTTTGCTCTTAAAAATCTTGAAAATTACAGCCTGTGTAGGTGTGATGGGTGTGTGGAGGCTGCTGTGCTACCCTACCCTATGTGTGGAAATCAGAGGACAATTTGGTGGCGCCTACTTTGTCTATCCACCTGGGTTCTGGGGATCAAACTCAGGCCTTCAGGCTTAAAGGGAAGTATCTTTATCTAGCAATCAATCCTGCTGGTCCTCTGCGCCTTGTAATCTCTGTCCCTGTCCTCCTACTGGCTCCACGCTGCTCTTTCATGTCTCATCACCCATAGCCTTTGGTCACGGTGGCCTGGCGGTCTCCTTGCAATGACACAGCCCTGGAGCCTGCAGATCTGCCTCTGATGTCCTTTATGCCCTTCCACATCCTTCCTGCTCACCATCCCTCTCTGGTCCTTCCTGCCATTGTATCCTACCAAAACCTGCCTGGACGGGCGATTCCCTCCTCCCCCCAGTGAGGACTGCAATGTGGGACTGTTTCCTGGGGCTCACACACTTGCCTGGTAGTGGGCTTCTGCTCCCACAGAGGCCCCCTGAGTTGTCCTATCAGCTATGAATATTCACACTGCTGTCTGTGCCCCCAGAATGCTGACCTGCCTCAGGCTCTACCCACTGCCAGGCCTCCTGCACCACATGTGTCAGAGACCCAGAGGTGCCATCCAAGACAGAAAGCAAAGTGTCCAGCTCTTTTTCCACAAAGGATTTTTATTCGGGTTTGTCAGAACCACTGTGCTCGCTAGGTCTGTGGCCCAGCCCCTGTTACCACAGGTCACAGGCCAAACCAAGAAGGGATGCCAGGGCACCGGGGGTCGCTGCTCTGCCTCTGCTGCTGAGGCTCCTCTTCCTCTGCAGAACTGGGCTCTTTCTCAGGAAAAAGATCTGGAAAGGTGAATGTCTGCCCATGTGCCTGGAGAGAAAAACAGGGGCTTAGTAGAGAGACTGAGGCTGGCCTTCCTATCACAGCAGAGGAATTTAATGCCTGGAGGCCAGCAGTTCTGGACCCTGGATGACAAACAGGATGATGAGCCACCAGTGTCTCTGGGCAGGGTTCCTGCTGGGAAAACAAACACCTTGCAGGCCAGCCCTTCGACCTTTATCTATCAGCGGCAGGCTCTTACCGGGACAATGGCCCTTTTCATGGACATTATCTCTTTACAGGGGTCTGCACCAGCCCAAGCCTCATTAAAAACAGTCCAGCAAAGGCCCATTCACCAGGCGGCAGCCCGTGGAACTGGGGGCAGGAACTAGGAGCAGAAAAACAGGACACAAATGACGTCTGGTGCCATGCTAAAACTTTTTCCATCCAAAATATCTAAAGGCCTTCAGCCACATTAAAGGCCGCCCTCCTCCAGGCTCCGAACTTGGCAAATAAAACGTACAGAGAAACCTACATACGCAGCAGTCTATAAATCAAGTCTGGCTTTGCAAATTAACTGCTTTTACGTCTTTCACTAGAAGTTCAGAGTGTGTCAGCATGGCCACGTCCCAGCCTGGGGCCCCAAGCACGTGGGCCAGCACCAGTGAAGGCCTTGGGAGGGGGAATGAGCCAGTTCTGCAAGGCTCTAAGCAGATCCAGGGCTGGGAGGCTCACTTGCAGCCTGCCAACATCTCCAAGATAAGAGGTGTAAGAGGAAAGGGGCACAAAAGGGCAACCCAGAGGCAGAGAGCCCCCCTCTTGTCTCACGTGGAGACAAATAGGGAATTCTGACTCTGGGGCACCTCAGTAAATTCAGTCAGAGGTGTGCACTTGGCCTCCAAAGACTTGCTTTGGGACTGGGCATGTAGTTTACTTGGTAGAGTTCCTGCCTAGCACGACTGAGGCCCTAGGTTTGATCTCCAGTGCCACAAAAAACTTTGGGTGGTTCATGCCTGGTGCTGTAATCAGCACTGGGGAGGTCGAGGCAAGAGAATCAGAAATTTAAGGTCATCCTTGGCTACACAAGGAGACCAAGGCCAGACTGGGCTATATGAGACCCTATTTCAAAAATAAAAAAGGGGAGGCAGTAGCTTGTAAGCAGAGCTGATGGCCCATCTAGAGTTGACAGCTGTGTCTGGTGGCAGCTGAAACCCAAAATGATAGCCTGAGGTCCAGAGACAGATAAGACAGCCTATGCGGGTAGGTATTGGGAAAGAACAAAGACAACCAGTAAGGGACCCATTTAACCATCTACGGGCGCCCGTATGACTTCTCTGAGGACTATCTCTAGAGATAATGACTTCATACTTTAAAAAAAATGTAGCCACCCACTCTCCAAGGAGGGAGAGCCGGTTTTGAGGGGCCCAAGGCAGGAAAGGAAAAAAGGCCAAAGTGAAAAGTGGAGAAGCCAGTCCTGACTCCAGTAATCCCAGGGCCCCAAACGCCATTGTTGGGCTGGACTGTGCCTGCCCGTAGCATTTATTCTGGAGCCTAGGGCTCAGGGCCTGTATGCACCACTCAGTCAAACACCATTCTGTGTAAACATGGTCAATGCTCTTTTTGTTATGTGGGGACTGGGAGCTTGCTAAGGCTCCCTCCCCACCGGACCAAAAAGATGTTTATCAGTTTGTCAGAAGAAAAATGTGGACGCCCACCACGTGGGACCCGCCTTTCCCCTTCCACACTCACAATGAACTGTCTCTCTCTGGTTGCCCCTTCCTGAGTCTCACAATACAGTTACCAGAAGCCCCCCACCCCCAAAGGACACGCTAGAAGACAAAGACAGTCTTTGCAGATACAGCCGGGAAGTCCCAAGCACTAACCATTTCGAGACTGGAGCTGGGAAGGGGGGTGCACTACAAATTTTAATTCTGGTCGAGAAGCCTTGCCCAGTGGGGACACGATGGGTCCCCATTTATCACGATTTCACAGAGGAAGGAGGCATGCCTGGTGGCAGCTGCAGACGCCAGATCTAAGAACTACCGTCCAGCTTTCATGAGCGTGGTGGGGCTGAGGGGGGCAAATGTAGGGGCTCAGATGTCTCAGAAGCCACTTGTAACCATAGCTGTCTCTGAAGTGACTTGTGGCAAATGCCAGCATATGGATGTGGCCCCACAGGCCATGACAAAGACAGATGGGGGGATTCAACACCAGTGCACAAATGCACACACACACAGGCCTTCAGACAGCCTGGGCCTTCTTTTCCCACCTGCGTGGCTGATTTTGTGCACAGCAAATATTAGAGCCTGTTTAGAACAACTGTGGGTCTTTTTTCAGCAAAGCTGCCTTCTTCACGGGGTCTTTGAACAAACAACCATCCAGCCCGGGGTGGGGTGGGAGGAGCCCATTCTCAATAGCATGACTGCCATCTAGTGGCCAGCTGTGGCAGCGGGGCTCCCTGGAGGGCTGTTTACACAGAAACTGGAGAAATTGGAGGAAACCCCCCTGTGGGGTTCAAGCAGTGGGGGGCTAGTTAATGGACCCTGCCGAGTGGACTCTTCCCGGCAAGATTCCCAGAGGTCAAAGGGGATTCTGCTTGGACACTCAGACCGAAGGGTGGTGGTTTAAAATCTGGCCTCAACGACCACCGTGGGTCTAGGAGAGAGGCCAGCAAAAGCAGGCTTGAAAATGCATACTTCCAGGCAAGTCTGCATCTCAGCGAATAAAGACCCCCCGGCAAGGACGAGGTGAAGTGGCTTTGGTGCCTGCCATGATTAGACTGACTAACAGCAGAATGTGCAGGGCCCTTGTGCCCCAGACATCTCGACCTCTTCACTGCATTGGGCTCCTAGGGGAACATCAGCTATGCATCAGGCCCAGGATCTGCCCAAGGCCGGGTCCTCACCGAGCTGGGGCTTTCCACATTCACCTTCTGATTTGTTTTCACCAAACACAAAGCCTGGCCATTGGCCTTTAACACAGCGTAAGGAATGGACTCAGCGAGCTCGGCCGGCCGAGGTGCACTAGGACCTGGGCTTCTCCCTTCCCAGGTCTCCAGGTCGAGGCTCCACAAAGGTGGAGTGCACTGCACAAACAGCCCCGGGACGCAGCCGTGACAAGGAGCAGAAACAGGGCTGCTCTCACTTACCAGCTGCACGTAGGCCACTTTGTAGTCTGGCTTCTTGATCCTTACATTCTTGTCGTTTCTCCTCCTGTTGGAGCCTGTGAGGGGACAGCAGACCCTGCCTTAGCTCCTGGCCCCTGATCAGCCCCCACAGTCTAGGAACCATTTTCCAGCAAGGCACAGGATATCATCTGGGGATGGGGGTTTCAGAAGGTAGACAGTACACCAGGAGGGGTCTCAGACAGATCTCCCATTAGTGCCACTGAAACCAGTTTCTATGTTTAAGTAAAAAATAGTCTTTGAAAACAGAAATGACGACAAAAGAGTTTAAAAGAATAAAAGGGGCCTCTTTTCTCTCGGGTGAAATGCAGCTTCTCCAGGGAGGGCATTTCTCAGGAGGTAGCACTGCCAGCCAGCCCTGGGCACTGGCTCTGTCACTGATGGCCACATCAGGGTCTACTATAGGAGGAGACTACTGTGGAGATGGACATTTCAGGGTCACAGCTGAAAGTGCTGGGGACCTTCAACAGCCTGTAAGGAAAGGGGCTGGGAGCAGACTTCTACCAAGCCCCTCATGCCTCAGTTTCCCCTCATGGGGAGTACGGGGACACCACGCGGTAAAGCCACCAACATAGGTACCCACCATGCTGCACCCTCGTGCGCACCGCAGCCACAGGAATGTTGTAAATTTGCTCCAGGTAATTCCGGAGGTCCACCCTGGTCATCCTGGAGGAGACGGAAGGAAAACAGGTCGGAGCTAAGCCTAGATAAAAGATACTGAGAAAGATATCCTACCCAGGGATGAGGGTTGAGTTCAGAAGCAGCTGTAGCCAGCGAGGCCAGGCGCCAGTACTGTCCTCTCTCCAGACACCAGGATAAGTCAGGGCAATGACAGCTTGGTTTCATCAGCCTGGTTTATTTGTTCCTCTCTACCTGGGTCCTTGATCACCACCGGAGCCAACTGGGTAGCCTGGTAAAATGTACAGTACCAGGCCTGTCCCCAGGCTGGGTTCCTATCTGTGACTAAAGACTTGCTACTGTGCTAGAAAGTGGCCTCTGGGACAGGGTGGGTGAAGCCCACATGGGCTTTCAGCACAACTCTGGCCACCATAAGCTCCTGCCCATGTCTGTAAGGCTGGAGAGACCCTACCCCAGCTTATATAGGCATCTCTCTCTGCCCCCTGCTCCTTCTTCCCCAGCTGAGGTTTTTAGGACTCAGAGCAGCACCAGCAGTTCAGACTGTACTCCACCGCCCTAAAAAAGTGGCACACTGAACTGAGCAGAAGGAGATGGGGAACTCAGGGCTAACAATCCAGAAGCTCTGCAAATCTCAGCATGCTCCAACCCAGCCTCCGGGGACTCCGTTCCTGGGAAAAGGATGGAGGCAAGAATTCAACAAATCTCAGGCTTTCTGTTAAGCTTTCCCCAGGTGGAGGGCGAGCCAGGAAGCCAGCCAAGAGCATGCTTGCTCTCTGGCTGCCTGAAGCTCTGCAAACACCAGGCCCCTCCACCATCCGCTGAGCAAGCAAAGTGGCCCCAGGTCTTTCCACCACAGGAAAAGCCTGGCCCTGGGGAGCTGAGCTAGAAAACAGGACGGGGCCCCACATCCTGGAGGCCGCTCCCCAGCCCCCAAATTCCTCTGGGACTCACTTACTCCATGGGGATCCGGAATTGCACAGTATCTTCAGGCTGGGCAGTACCAGGCCGCACCAGCTGGATGAAGAAGTTGGTTCGGAATACACGGAGCTGGGGGCCACCCAGCTGGTAGAGGGGGTACCTGCTCAGAAGAGATACGGGATTACGGTTACATGCTTGTGCACACACAGAGTGCTACACAGAGTGCTACAGGCTCATGTGTCCACGCACACCAGGAGGGTCAAGGCAGGCCAGGGACAGTTATACATAGGACCTGTACAAGGGACATGGAGATCACAGGGCCTGTCCCTACTGCATGGTCTGATCAGTATGGGGGGAGGGGACAGGAAACTTCCCAGGCTTTAACCTCCCTTCTGGGGTGTCAGGGCTATGGACACTACAGCTTGCCTAAGGAAAGGGCAAAAGGGTAGCTAAAAAAAAAAAAAAAAAAAAAAAAAAAAAAAAACAGGAGCTGAGGCTGATGGTGTGGCAGGGTGTCAGAATAATGGCTGTCATCTCAGCTTGTAAAAATGTAAGAGAGTAAGGGAGGGAGGACCTCATGAGCAGAGCGACAGCAGTACCCCACTTGAAGATATCGCTCCTACTTCTGGGTGTTCCCACGGCCAGGGAGAAGGACTCCTTTACTGTCCCCCTCAGCACAGAAGAGCCCTTGAGAGGGAGACGAACAGGCTGGGGGCTGGTGAAGATAATGTTTCTAACACGGTGCTCCAAGCTGGCAATACCTCACTGGACTCCTAAAACTACCCAAACAGGCAGAAGCTGCTAAGGACTTGGGGTAGCCACTGTTTCTCACCATTATCAGACCTTCAGACAAAGCAGAATCTCTGCCTGGTGGGCTTGTACACCTCCCAGCCCACTGAACAGACAATGGAAGTGGAGAAACTCAAGGTCTGTTTCCACGAACAGACATGGTCAATGAACAGACATGGAAGTGGAGAAACTCAAGTCCAGGATGCCCAGGTGGAGGGTGGGTACACAGAACCACCTAGGGTCGCACTGATAACCAGAGGTGTGGCATGTGGGTCAAACCTGGGTGCACCTAGGCCTGTGAAAGACTGAGTTCTATGCTGATCCAGCTTTGGAGAAGTATATACTGGCTCTCCAACTCCAGGAGGCACCACACTGGAAGGACCAGGCTGAGAGCACCAGGGGGTTTCAGGGCAGAGTAGCAGGTACCTGGGTTTCAGATGACTCTGAAGGTAGCCTGGTGGGAGCCTCAGAAGCAGGACCCGTAGCCCAAAGTTTGCTAAACTCAATGGCTCAAGAGCCAACCCAGTGATCAAATCCATACTCTGCTGCCAGACTAGTTGCCTAGAGATTGCTGCCAATGCCATGGCTGAGCCTCCCTGAGAGAACCTTGAACTCTGTGCCTACAGGAACAGGCAGCAAGGAGGGCATTGAGAAGACCCTGAAAGAGGGGCAGGTTCTGAAGGGGGATGTGAGTGGGGCCCAACTGTGGCACAGCATGAGGACAAAATTGGGAAGACCTTCCTTAACAGTGGAAATGGGGGTACAGTGCACACTAAACTCCCTAGTCTCTGAATCTTCAGGAATAGGACCTGAGAGCAGAGCCCCTAAGACCACACTGGAGTCATGCGAACTATATGCAGATTTCTGTTCTCCCTACATCTGCCCTTGCCCACAAACTCTTCCCACAGACTGCCAGGCGCATCCCAAGCCTGGTGACTCCCCCAGGAAACCCTGCAGCCTCCTCTTGGTCCCAGGACCCTCCCTGCTCTCCCAGCCTTGCTGCTCTTCTGAAACCTGGCTTTTCACGGTTCCCCTAACTTACTTCTTTCCTACTATCTTTCACAAGCACCCCAAAGAGCGTATTTCACGTGGAACTCCTGGCTCTCCTCCCTTCACAATCTGGGCACCTGGCTCCCCACTGGTAACTAAGCTGTGACTTGCCCTAGGTAGCTCAGGTCTCATCCCTGATCTCACCCTGTCCCCACCCACCCATCGTCCATTCACACATGGGTCCCACTAGCTCCCTGCAAAACTAGGGCGTAAGCATGAGAGCTGAACCTTCTTCTGCGGACCCTGGTCCATGCTAGCCAGTTTTGAAATTATACGGGTGCCCACCAGGCAATTCCTGCAACGCTCTCCCCAGCTGTGTGCAGGGCTCCCCAAATCCCGTCTCCATGAGAACCCCCCAAACCCACATTAACGCTCAACCCGGGCCACCCATCCAGTGGGTCACGTGTTCACTGAACACGTGTTTCCTGCTTAGACTGTGGGAGGCCAGCCCTGCTGGCCACGTGGAGATCTGTGAATGCAGCAACTTTTGGGGGCTTGGGCCAGGGGTGCTGCGAGCACTGGCCGATCTCGGCCCAGCTCTGGCTATTTGCCAGAGGAGGCCCGCGCGGTTAGCTGTGATTGACAGCCAGTACACTACGCCGCGGTGCGCCTGCCGCGTGGACCCCTGCGGGAAACCGGCTGAGTGCGGGAAACCGGCTGAGTGCGGGCGCCTCCTGCTTCCGGTCCTCGGGACCGCCCGGGCCCCACGCCCACCCGACCTGGGCTGCGCTGCCCGCTCAGCCCGCCGACCACGTTACTCACAGCACATTCCGCGCCATGGCAGCCGCACCTACCAGGCCGGAAGGAGCGACGCCCCGCACCGTGCCCGCGCTGGCACAGCGCCCCCTCGCTTCCGGAGGCCGCGCTACCCTCTCCCTGCACCGCAGGGCCCCGCACGTTCGGTGTCCCGCAAATCCCCACCCCCACCGCAAGCTGCCCGGGCACCGCCCCTGGCACAATGTACCCCGCCTCTCCGCCTGCAGGGTTTCCTAGGGGAGTCACACAGTGCACAGCCCCGCCCTTCATCCGGACCCGCAAAAAAACCTGCGTGCACACTGTACCCGTTTTTCCCACCCAGACCCGTACACCGCACAGAGTCCCGCGCACAACTCGGTGTACAATGTACCTCCCTGCTTTTCAACATGTAAGCACCCTACGCCCACATGCTTCCCCACCCACAGGGGCACAGCCCTTTGCCATGAGCCACCCCGCACTTCTGCGCTACTGGTGGACTCTACAAAGGGCACCTACTGTCCTGCCTCCCCATCCCAACGTTGCATGGTCCCACCAAGCACTGTTATACACCCTGCACCCCCAAATGTACTCTGTCCCCTTGCTGTAGGTAGTCTAGCACTACCTTTGTCCCCAATCCTCTTTTTCTCAATTGGATCAATCCATCCCATAAGGCTCACCAAGGCCTGAGCGTCCAGTCCCCACCCTGTGTCCCACAGCCTAGCTGTACAAACATCCACCCTGCCTGCCTCTATGCCCAGCTCTTTGTCTCTTTCCCTCCCTCAAGCCCATCAAGAGGCTACTCCCATCCCCCATTCCACGCAGGACCCTAGCCCTCCTCAACAATTCAGTCACAGCCTAGCCAACAATCCCGGGGGCAGCAGAGATGGGGAAGGGCGGGGTGGGCTGGACCTCCTGTCTGAGGTCTAAGGCCCCTCTCCCAACCCGGTGTGGGTTGTTTTCCCTTCCAGGCTCCCAGGACCCCCTCCTTTCTCCTTCCCTCCCTTTCTTGGCCGCCCAGCCACATTTGCAGCCCAGCAGCCCTGCATACTCCCTGTCCCAGGAGCCCTTGGCCACACCTCCTTCAAGAGGCCACTAGCTTTCTTAGGCCATTCTGTCCACTGGCCCTCCACCCTGCAGATCAGGGACCCTCTAGCCTGGCCCTTACTAAGGGACCCCTGTCCATAGTTCCTGTCCCTGACTTGGGAGGGTATTGCAGCTCCTTTCTGCTTGTGGACTCCACTTCCCCTACAAGTTCTCTACGCTGGTTTCCAGCTCCCTCAGTCCTTGTAGCTTTCTGTCTGCACCCCATGGCAGCATAGTGTAAGGGAAGAAGAGGCCTCAGGGAAGGAGGAGGGGCCTGGGTGGAAATATCAGGCACACTGTAAGGGACCACAATGGACCTCCAGGAGATTCTGTCCCAAGATGGCCAGTGTTCTGTGTTTCTAGGTCTAGCTGGGTAGAATAATGGTGACTCCAGGACAGTGGTTCTCAACCTTCCTAAGTCTGTGACCCTTTAATGCAATTCCTTAAGTTGTGACTCTCCAACCATAAAATTATTTTCCATTGCTACTTTATAACTGCACGTTTGCTACTGTCATAAATCATAATGTAAATATCTGTTTTCCAGGATCCTAGGAGAGGCCTGAGAAAGAGGTTGTGACCCACAGGTTGAGAACCATTGTTCTAGGAGCATCTGGAATTCCTCCCTCTGCCCCACCTATTTAGTGATGGGAATGACCATTGGGGTTACCTAGGATGAAGGAATTGAAGGTAAGTAATGAGGTCATGAGCACAGGTCCCTGACCATATGCCCATATGTAAGCCTCCTGTGTCGTGATACATACTGAGTGTAGTTATGGCCCACGAGACTGCTGGCTGGACAGGTTGTTGCCCAGCAGCAGATGGTCTTAGCCTAGCCTGAGTTCTGAGGCCTCTCTCCCTATGTCTCCAGGTCAGATTTGTCTCCCCCTTCCTCTCCCTTCTCTTGTTCTCAGTCTGACTGGCCTACCACACCCCTGTATACTCCCCCATTCCACACCAATTCTAAGAGGCCGTTGGCTAAAAGAGGGGACATGAGGACCAGAAAAGTTCAGCCTTGATGTTTCCTTAATAAGCATTGTTGGTAGCCATATTTTAAGCTGCCAGTTAATCAGCTCAGGGTTGTAGTCCAAAGTTGGGTTCAAAGCTGGCCATATCTGCTGGGAAAAGAGACTTGATAGACCATATGGGTCTTTGAGAATGAATTTAGGTTCATCAGGCTTGGAAGTAAGCACCTTTACCCAAACTGAACTATCTTGCTAGCTTGATCTAAAATGAGGTGATTCTGAGACATCCCTTGGGAAGAAAGCATTCAAGTATGAGGCAACCATGTATGTAATATATGGTGTATAACTCATGGAGAAAAGACACCCTAAAGGGCAGGAGTAAAAAGGACCAGGGATGAAGAAGGTGCTGACCTGGGAGCTGGGGTCCTCATGGCTTGGAAAAGAAAGAGAGAAGGAAGGGCCTTTGGAAAGTGATGAGCAACTGATCTTGGGACACATTGTATAAGGGAACATTATTGCCACTTCAACTGCCTACCCCAAGCCTGTCCCACCAAGGTTCCACAATTCTCTTTTGGTTGGAATTTTCAGGTTGAATGCCAGGTGATTCTGGGACTGAAAGATGGACAGTGTAGGGGAGGACTTCAAGGAATATACCAGATCCTCCCAACATCAACCCCAGTTCCATTCTGGCTCATATGTCATGGTTGTGGCCTCTGAGCAAGCCACATCTCCAGCACTGGATAACCCAGACGTGGTGGGGCATGCCTATAATCTCACCATTTGGGAAGTAGAGGCAAGAGGATCAGGAGTCAGAAGTCATCCTCAGCTACATGGTGAGTTAGAAGCCAGCCTGAACTGTGTAAGAAACCTCTCTCTCTCTCTCTCTCTCTCTCTCTCTCTCTCTCTCTCTCTCTCTCTCTCTCTCTCTCTCTCTCTCTCTCTCTC